TTCAACAATAGAACATTGAATTAACAGAGCAGATTCCATCTTTAACCTTAACGTTTCTATGAAAAGTTCTTTTATTTTGACATCAAATTTGTATAAGTTGCAATGTAAAATAATGTAAAAAAAAAAAAGAAACAGAAGTTTTTTAATCTAAAATCAAATGAATATAAAAAAATAGCAACTACTGTTTCCAATTATTGTTCTCGAAACCTTCCTTCCTTTTTCATGTCATTTCAACAGAACATCGTTACGCGAGTACTTTTAACGCATAAAGTGACAACCAAAAAATATCATTGTTCTTATGATAAGTGAATACTGTAAAAAACAGTATCATATATTGATCATATTAAAAAAAAAATGTACAATTTTAAAACAAAAGGGTAAGGAAAAAACAAAAAGGAAGCATAATGTTAGATATATGTGAAAAATAGTGAAAGTTAGGTGGAAAAAAAAAAGAAACTACTTTGTCGAATAATTATCACATTTGAACAGAAAACAGTTTTAAAGTTGTCGTCAAGTAACATCAGAATATCGGTAAAAGTTTTTCCTTTTTTTTTGTGGTTTTTTTTCTCCTAATTTAACGAAAATTAAATGATAATATATTTATGGGAAAAGGCAAATAGTTTTTTTTTTTTGGAAACAGCAATGGGACGTTGACAGCTCAAACAAAACAAAAAAAAAAAGCTGTTCTAAAGAGCAACGGGGAAAAAAAAAATTGAATTTAGTAGTAACAGTTAATTGTTATGAGTAAATCAATGAACAAAAAAAAAAACGGGACAGTTTTTCTGTACACATATCCATTGTTATCCTAACAATTACCTACTTTGTAACTGGCTTTTTTTTTTTCTTGATAATAGTCTCGAAAATTAGTGTAAGTATAAAAAATATATTTAGACAAGTCTAGTCTTTTAGTTTAGTTTTTTTTTTTTTTTCAAACATCTTTAGTTTACCTACTGCATTCTGTTGATATTACAACAATATTTTGTGCCAATTTATTTGTTGTATCAAACAGAAGTGAAAATTTACAAAATACAGTTATGTGTGTGGTTTGGTGTGTGGTGTGTGGTGTGTGGTGTCTGTGTGTGGTGTCTGTATTTCTCTGTATATATCGAAAACTAAATTACTCAAATTTTTAAAAGGAAGAAAAAAACTTTTTGCAATGTAATCAAAACACTTTTTTAATAAATGAAAATTTATCATATAATCTAACGTAACTATCAATTTATGAATGAATTAACTAATTATTAATCGATGGTATGATTTGCCCCATTAATTTACTCGACAAGTCATTCTTCTGACAATCCACCAAAATCATTCAAATTTGGAAAACAATTTTTTTTTAATGTCAAAATGAAAAATATCATTGACTTTGGGTGCAGTTCTCAACAAAAAAATAATATAGTGTTTTTTTCTTTTATATATATATATTTTTTTTTTTTTTTTT